AAAAAAAAAAAAAAAAAAAAAAGAAAAAAGAAAAAAAAAAAAAAAAAAAATAAAAAAAAAAAAAAAGTATTTAAAATAAATAATAAAAAAAATTTGAGTTGTATTAAAAAAAATTTAAAAAAAAAAAAAAAAAAAAAAAAAAAAAAAAAAAAAAAAAAAAAAAAAAAAAAAAAAAAAAAAAAAAAAAAAAAAAAAAAAAATTAAGATGAAATAAAAATAAATAAAAAGAAAAAGGGAAAAGGAAAAGGAAATCGAAGTTGAGGGTCACCCAAGGAACTGGTTCCCATTTGGAGATTCAGCATTTCCCACTAAGCAATTAGAATTCATTTTTGGAGCTTTGTAATTTACTTTTGCTGAATACTATTTATTATTTTATTTTTTATTTTGTCAACACTGGCGCCGTTTCGAAGCCTAAGCGGCCCAAAGTAACGATCTGCAACCGTCTCCGACGGGACGTCGTCAGTGGCACTAGTCCAGCACCAAACACGGCAACGCCAGGGCTTGCCTTTGTCCCTGCGGTCCATCACTACTCATGCTGAGTTTCTGTGTTTGTTCATAAGCTTCGCCGATCCCCTTCGGGTCCTTCCCCAGACTGTCTTTCCTTCTTCCTATCTGTCGGGTTCAAGGGCCTACTATTTCATTCTTCCTCCTCAGATTTCTTGCTGTCGCACCGGGCACAAAACGCAGATTATCACCCTTCTGGTCATTGTTTTTGTCTTGCTGTGCAGAAGAAAATCTCCCGACGCCTGCGCATCTTCTCCTCATTCAACTACCTACCGTGCGCCAGATCAAATTCAAAGCTCAGTTGATCGTCCATCAGCTCTCATTCTCATAGTCCTTTCCCGCTATATACAGTTCTTCCACACGCTTCAACGTGGTACTCCTGGCGTACGTTTCTTCGGCGCCATCCTGTTGTCCCGCATCTCGAATTCCACTGCGGATCTACAACTTGTCTGCTGCTCCTCACTTCCCTGTTGACTCAGCCCGCTTGTTCCGGGGCTGTTAGAGGATTCTTGTCTCTTGCGACACATTTGAATTATACACAGGAACACTACACCTAGCCTCCATGACGATGGTCATAGAGAACCAGAACCGCCAGTATGGCGGGATGGGTTTCGACAGTGTCTACTCACATAATGTACCACATCACGCACCTCCCCATTTCACCGATCCTTGGGCATCTGCGCATACCTCTTCCCACTCAACTCCTCCAGTGTACGCAACTTCCATGGGTATCAATCATACCAAGCCAGAGGAAGTGAGCAGACCTGCCTTGTCCATGCCATACTCGAGCATTCCTGTCTCCGCACCCTCGATGGTCACAAGCAGCAGCTACTCGACAACACCCACGAACTACTCCGGAGCGGAGGTGATAGGTCTCCAGCATGATATGCCTCGCACGACCTTCGAACAAACGCCTACCTATACTACAGCGTCATCGATGAGCAGTTTCACTCCTGCGACATACGCACCGATCAGCTACGCTCCACCTCTCGCTCACCCACACCCGGACAGCCGCCGGGTTTCACATGTGTAAGGCCGCAACTTTTTTCCTCGACATCATATAAAGCAGTAGCCGCTAACAAGTTCCTTCCGTTCCAGCGATCCTCGTGCTAGTCATTCACAGCCTCCGTCGGGCCCTACATATGGTGATGCTCTTGATGCCAGTCGTGGAATGGTCGCGCTCAGCCAGGATTTGACGCCTCGCAACATCTATGGTCCTCGTTCCAGGGCCTCGGGGGACTCGTACGGATTTCCTTCGACCCATTCGTCCGGGTCGTCCATCTCCTCCGGGGCAAATTACCCCTACTACAGTGCGTCGGTTGCGTCGGTTGAGTCGTCTGTCACGGATTACAGTTCCACAACATCTGAATCTTACGAGAATGGGCACCTGTCACGAACACTACCTCGCCCGTCGAACCTGTTGTCTGGAAGTGCTCCTCCCGGCCCACAGTCTATGATGAGTCAATTCAGCTCGAAGATGCCATCCAACACACAGAAGAAGCACAAATGCAAGGTGTGCGATAAGCGGTTCACGCGCCCGTCGTCGCTGCAAACGCACATGTACAGCCACACTGGGGAGAAACGTAAGTACTTCGTTAAGTTCCTCGTTGAAGCTTTCGATACTGACTTGGAAACTAGCGTTTGCATGTGACGTTGAAGGTTGCGGAAGGCACTTTTCTGTTGTTTCGAATCTCCGTCGACACAAGAAGGTTCACAAGGGCGAAAAAGAAAACGTATCGGGTGGCGAGGACGAGTAGAAAGCCCCGTTCTCTACTCTGCACCCGAAATCTGATGCCTTCTTCCTCTATATCTTTGACGGATGCCAGAAGCATTGAGTGATTGGGGCTATCGCGCTGTGCGACGTCCAAACCACCTCTGATCCCTTGTACAACACATCATCTCTCGCTGCTTTGATTACTCTTTTTCTTTTTCTTTTTTCTTTTTCTTCTGATCTCTGCTAGGTCGGAGAATTGATACCCCTTATTCTTATTTTCATTGCGTTGGATCATGGATGGGCAGGACACGGTACAGGGACTCTTGGGATTTTACACATTGATGACCACTATATTCCCACGTCATGATCATAGAGGTACCGGTTGTTTTCCTGGTTGATGCTCATTTTGTTTTTATTTCCATTCTATTCTCTCGCTAGACCAGGGATTTGTTTGTTGTTTTTTTTTTCTTTTTCCTCGTCTTTCCCACTTCTTCTCTTGACCCTCGTATTATGAGGGGTGCCCTGTCTTTCTGCGTTTCCGTGGCGTGCAACTGTGTCCGGGAAATTGTCGTAGCAGGCCTTTGTTTTCTTCTCTTCTCCGCCCTCGGCTTCTTTCCATTTAGAGGCATTGGTCCTTACTCAATTCGTTTCATCTCTTTTTCATATTATTCTGTTTCCGCTCCAATTACTTGTTTTGCGTCGATACGTCGACAGTTCCCTCACTGGAGGAAAGACTTGGGCTGATACCCGTTGCAATTGGGCGGAGCATTTTAGAAACGGAATGCAGGCAGTGGCTTTCGTGTGCTTTCAATGTCTGGAGTCATCATTTTTGAGTGGAGTTTGTTACAGCATGGACATCATCCAGTGTCATTTACGGTCGCTACCTACGTACTATACCACTACTACCTACACCTATTGCCTAATATACGCATCCTGGAATTACAAGTGTATCAAGATTGAAGTGTGGAACCCTTTGCTGTTTTATGTATATAGCCTGTCTCACCGTGTACACAATCGCAAGTATGAGAGATCAAACGAGTGCAACACTCCCAGTGGCAATGAGTAATCAAACAGTGGATGTCAGGCACGCGGTGGCTTTGAAACATCCAATGATAAGATCTGGATGCGCATCACCGATTACCTTATGGAACAGTGGAAGAACAATTCCCGCGATACGACCTTGTCTGGGTCCTCTGGCCCCTGGGCCTTTCTGTCAGATATCTAAGGTACTGTCTGTCCAAAACTCCGAACTCCAACCTCCAAGCCTCTGATGTAACCGCCCCCGTCCAAAAATAAAACATACACGCGTCCAGGAATTCCCACCCAAGGAGTTCTCCGCAAGTCATGGTTCTGCGATTCGCTACCTAGCAGAATTTACCCCGTAGCTACCTTACCGAGTACCAGCCTACCAGGAATGGACTCGCTGGAGTCAAGGGACCAACTGAGGTAGAATAGGATGAGGTATACGTCAGCCAGCTCATGCTCATTCCTGAGAAACGTCGACCACTCCATTTGCTTGCAGAGGTACCGACAACCTAGGTAGGTAGGTGATCATTCTGTGGTAGGACTGATTATCTGCTGGTACCTTGTGACGCAGACACAACACAAACATATGAAGACCGTAGATTTGCTACCGTATGCTATGTTGTGAAATGATGTCATGCGCGGGAGTGGCTTCGCCTTTTACCAGGACAGGGACTCTCATTGCCAGGATTGAGGATTCAGATGCGATACTCGCCACTCGCCAGTGGTTCAATAACAGTCAAGTTACCTAAGGTAGATGTGGTCTTGGCATGGGTTGTTGAGTTGAATTTCGTTCCATGTGTTGCTGCATGGAAAGAATGAGTGGCATTTATGTCCCTTTCAGAAGTGGTAGCCATCGCGCGGACTTTCCTTGTCGATTCTACAGACTGAAAAGCAGATGGCGTAACAATATCATTGGTTTGCTCGCTATGACCTCCAGTATAAGTAGATGAAAGCAATACACGCCAGTTCCTCCATCAACACCATCCGTGATAAGACACGCCCAGAATGTCAAAATATAAAAAGGGATCGACGAGGGCATGAGGTCAAAGTACATTAAGAAGCCAGACTCGCTTTTATTTAGATTACAATCGATAGCTCCGGCCTGGCCAGGCCATCCTCACTTAAGTCAGGATAGTATGGAACCATTGCATCCGCGCTCTGAACGTAGGCGTCGTTGTAGAGTCGCCAGTAAGGCGTGCGAACCTTGCGTGCTGGGTGGAAAAGACCCGCCCAGACGTAGTTCATGACCACTCCCGTGCCAACAGCCATCCGGATGGCATCGATGGCTTCAATGACACGATCGATAACGTGAGGACTGGTTTCAAAAATGTTGGGGAAGACCAGGTTGAGTAGATGAACCATGGCGTCTTCACATCCCAGACCGACCACACCAAGGGCGATGTGTTTAACGACACTGGCAGCAGTTTGCCGATGCACTTGATCACGGTCGATGAGAGCATCCTCGAGCAAAGGAGTAACCGCATAGACATAGTCCTTGGCCATCTCGCCAATGTACTCGAACAAAAAGGACATGGCCTTCAGCACACCGTTCTGGACATTCAGCTCAGGGACACGGTATTCATTCATCAGAGCTGGAAGGACAGTGAACGGAGCACAGGTCTCAGCCACAATACCAATGGCGACAGCAGTACAGACACGAGACTGGCGTTCCTGGACACGGAGATTGTTAAGCAGTGTCGCCAGGACGTCCTGGGGGCCGATAGCCTTGGCGATGAAACCGAAAGTGTTATTCGCTGCACGACGGATACCCTTCTTGTGGGCTTTCAACATGTCAAGCAGTTCGAAGCAGATACGCATCCACTCGCGAGCGTTGACGGATTCGGGCCCACGATCAGCAATACGACCAACCAGATCAATGGTGTTCTCTTGAACCTTCTCATGACGGTTACGCAGGATGGGGGTCAACCGTGGCAGAAGGTCTCGAATGGGTGGCTGCATCTGGTTGATACCCACGACTGTGACAATGGACCGAAGAGCTCCGAGGATGGAGCCAAGAACTTCGGGATACTCCTCACCCAGATACTCGTAGAGCACAATGCCAAGCTTACCCATAAGCGCATCCTCGCCGCATTGCTTCATGACCATTGCGATACGGGAGATGAGGTCGGCGGCTTGCTGGCGGACTGTAGCGGACTTGTTGTTCAGACGCCAAAGAATGGTACTGACAATCTGCGGGAGGTATGGCTTGCAGCGCGTACCAAGTGCGTTAACGACTGTTCCGAAACCGTTGAGGATCACAATATCCTCAATGCTTTGTTCCTGGAACGCATAGAGGACACCGTCAATCAGCCTTTCTTCAAGCCGCTCTGAAATATCGGCAGCCCCAAGGGCTGCAATCAGCTTCTCAATAGTCTCAACGGTCATCTTCCGGTAAGGTTCGCTCTCATCCTTCAGGTTATTGACCACACGTTCAAGAATTTCTCCCACGCCGACTTTCTGTCCAAGATCGACAGTCGTGTCCACAACCTGGCGATAGTTTCTCCTGTCCAAAGCCATTCGCCTGACCCAGAAACTCTTGAAAAAGTCGGTCAACACGTGTTCCTTGAGATAACTAGCCGTCACGCCGTCAGTGCTCGAGCACTGTGATACCACCTTGAGAACGACCTTCTTCATTTCTTCATCAGGAGAAGAAAACTCACGTAGGAGAATCTCCATGATCTGACTGGTGTAGTAGTTGGCATATTCCTCGTCCATAAGCGGAATGATGTAGCCCACAGCTTTCAGAAAAGCAGCTAGACCCTTGCCACGCTGCTTTCTCGCTCCGGTCCAGAGTGGGTTAAGAATCTCATCGAAACTCTCAATACCGTAAGGATTGGCAGCCTCAGCCAGAGCAGCCACAGCAAGAGCAGTGACGGTTCTGACCTTGGCCTGTTCATCGCTGAGATTGTCTGCAATACAGTCAACCAGACCTTTCAGGTGAGGTAGAATAGCACATCCCATGAGAATGGGAATCTGTTGGACGATCTTGACCCCGGTATGCCGGGCTTGCCAGGACTTCTTACTGCGACACACAGCGCGAAGGAACGGAAGCAGAGCTGGAATACCAAGGGCAGAGGCAACAACGGCAAATGCTCGGGCAGTGGTGTTCCGGACGTATTCATCCACGTGGTCGATATCGGGACGCATGGTGCTGATCATGGTAGCAAGACCAGCCGCCTTTGCCAAGTTGGAGATGATTTCTCTACCTTCAACACGAGCATAGTAATCCTGGTCGATGAGTAACGGCTCGATGACGACAAGAATCTTGTGAACGTATGGGCGAACAAGATCATCCAGCTTGTAGAGCACGCGATCAATGACTTTGACCAACAAGTGACGTTCTTGATCCTCAAGCGACTTCTCCATGAGCAAGGGAAGAATCTGGTTGAAAAGAGGACCAGCGCCGAATTGCCGCGCGTTGTCCGTCAGTTGACGCAAAGCAGTCTTTCTCATGGGCGGTGTGCCGTTCTTGACCTTGAGCAGCAGCCTCATAATCTTCCTCTCTTTCAGTTCCTCTACTGACATCGTGCTCTCATCGCCCCCTTCCATCAATTTGCCGAAGTAGGCCATGTCTTCGGGCTTGAAGAACTGCAGATCGCCAACACCCGGAATTTCAGTTGGCAGCTGCTTGCCCAATGCGCGGGCACTCTCGGGCTCTTGCATCATAAACCCTCCTACGCCGCCAGCTGCGGGAACAGGAGCTGGGGTGGCCATGAGCTTCCTTGCAGGGGTTCGGATCGGTGCGTATCCTGGCGGGGGCTCAAGAATCTTGTAGCCCTCTGAGGGAAGCATCATATCAAGTTCCTCATCAGAGAGTGGGGCGTTTCGAGCAGAGATATCAGTTCCAAAACTGGTTGGAATCAAAGGCACACCTACTTGAGACGGATGCATTGGTGTCGCGAGCCCTTGATTGCCAACCGGTGTTGCGGCCGCGATTGCCGGAGCTTGATCCCACCTTGACCGCCGTTTGGGAGCCTCTTCGGCGGTGCCAGGGACAGCGGGTGCGGGTGTTTGATCCCATCGCGATCTCTTCGCTTTCGTCTCGGAAGGTTGAGGAGCTTCAGAAACAGCTTCCGTGGGTTCGCTAGATACGTCCCACCGCTGCTTGCGCTTTCGTCCCGTGACGACAGAGACAGTCGAACCAGCCTCGGCATTCTCCTTATCCTCTAATTTCAGAGTGGCCTCATGTTCAGCGACACCGTTCTCGCCACGAGTCTGTTTCTCTGCGATCAGCTTCTGGACACGCTCTTCTTCTTTCTCTAGTTCACGCAAAGCCATAATTTCACGGTATGTCTGGCCATCTGTCTCCACATTGGCATGAGTGTTCGCCGCAAAAGGATCAGCCCTGGTTGGCGTCAGAGGACCCCGATTGAACCGACGCTTTTGATAATCTGTCTCCCGATCTGCAATCCTAGCCGCCTTCTCACGTCCAGTAAGAATATCCTCCTCCTCGACCCCATTGCCTTGGGCAAGCTCGTCAATTTGATCTTTGGTTGCGGTATACTGGCCAACCAGACGGTGACCCCCGTCTGCGTCTTCCATGTCCTCATCATCGCCATCAACAGCGATCGACGTGTTATAGCCTGCGTATTTTTCGGCACCCTCGCGGTCGTACAGAGTGGTATCAAAGGTTTCGGTCAGGGAGGCCTTGGTGGAGTTGTCAGTGCGCTGGCTAGACGAATCAAAGGTCCTAGAACCTTTCTTCCCAGCTGTAGCGAAATTCCGCTCAGCTTGGAGCTTGCGAACAGCTTCGAAATCAGCTGCAGAGGCGATCAGCAAAGCGTTTTCGATTAGGGGTGGAAGACTCTTACCGTCAGACATGTTGGCAGCTATGAGTAGTCCGCAAATGAGATAGAGAGTGATATATCTCTAGTAGAGGTGGCAGCAGCTACATCCGGATCAAACACCGCGATAACGGCGTAACTGAATGCGGTCTGGGAAGCAATTCGCTGATGGCGTGCGATGAGAATGACTTGAGCGCGAAAAGGAAGTCGTTCGGGCGACGCTAGTTTGACGACTAAGCAATATCATGTGACTTTGAGTGGCACAGATTCTTACTCATCAGATCTTGGCATCGACTGAGCAATCACCCTAACGCCAAGACCAATGCCGTTCTTGTTTTAGTAGGTGAGCAGTGCCGCCCTAATAAAGAACAGTTCCCCACCAACATTCCCTGAAGTCAAGCATCAAATATTCAGATACTACGTGTTTTCCAATCAGGGATATAGAAAAGTTGGGAATCCATGATCTAACGCATTTACTTAGTCTGTTGAGACTATTTCCCATCATGACTGCGAGAAAGGACAAAATGACCGAAGACTGACAGAAATTCGAGCAGCTTCTCATAATCACCCGAGCCACAGACAGCGCAAGAGTAGCTTTGTGGAGGAGTCTGCCAGATTGACGACGTGAGAGTTGTTGTCTCCCGGTCTTCTTTGTGTCCTTTTGATTCCCAGACTGAATTAAATTTGCAAGAAGTCGAAGATCTAATGAGGCGGCGCTTAACATTCTGACATTGTTGGTTTTATTCTTGTCTCAACCGACAATGAGTACACCACAGCCCCTCGTCCTATACTTGCCAATTGGCTCATCTTTTCGGTCTTTAATTTATTCAATTGACGTGTAGCATCTATCAAAGTCTATCTTAGACCCTGAAAGTCATGCGCCTCCACTGGTTGGTCACACTTCATCAGACTTCATATGTTCGAGACAGCATGTGCCGTAGGTATTCCACTCGCAGGATTACAGCGCGGCTAATATTCTATTTCTAGATTGTGCACACAGCCTGGACTCATGCTGTGCTCTCAGTGCCTTCATCCTCCGGGCCTAAGCGATCGAGCTTATGACATGCGGTGTACTTCCATTTGGAGGAAGCAACAAGTGCATGTTGTTGAAGTTCATGAATGATCTGCTATGGCTTTGCTTCCCACTAAGAGGGGCTTTCAAATCTTCTCCTTGTAAAAAAGAATCAATTGCAAATGCAACGACATTGAACTCAATCAACCCTTATCTGCCTTGCATTGCTCCTTCGCAAAGAGACCTGATCATCGCCACTTGCTATAGCTGTGCGATAGCCAAAGAGAGAGCTGCCCCTATCAACCATGTTGGCTACTAAGTTCTTGCTTTGTTGGATGGCAGTGCTGAGCCATGGTTTCTATATCGGAATGAACAGAAAAGTGAGCAAATATTTCAGTTCTCTATAAATGCTTTCAGATACCTCCTTGCCTATCAATGTGCCGGTGGGCTCATTATCCGGAGGATCAACCTTCAAAATTTCGCCAGCACAAGCATATTGGCTATTATCTGCTCAACTCAAACTGCTGTTCTATTTCACCATGTATTTCTTGACGTCCATCTCCATATTCCTTGCAATAATCGTGGCGGAAGCATCTCCTCTTGTCCACGGCAATCGAGTCCTAACTGAAGTTTTTGTGAAGATCACCAAAGCACTCGATGGGATACAAGTTGGAAACTGCGTTGACGCCAACCCCACGCTACCACTGTGTGATATGAATCCAGCTTTGCCTGCGCCGTCTCACGGATTGAAGCTGAAACTTGTGGCGCTTGGTCGGGGTACTCAGAACTACACCTGTTCGTCATCTGATGAATCTGCTTCTCCAGTTGCAGTTGGCGCTGTTGCGACACTGTTCGACGCATCCTGCCTTGTCTCACATAGTCCCACAATACTCCATGAGCTACCATCTGCAATGAGCAAGGTATCAACTGATGCACTGGGGCTTTTTGCCATGCTCCTCGGTCAAATGACTTCACGGACAAGTAGTGGGTTGATCCTTGGAGAACATTACTTTACGGGCACAGGAGCGCCTATGTTCGACCTACGTATTGGAGGTCACAAGGACTGGATTCGGGCTAAGGAGGGTTCAAGCGTACCAGCGCCCTCTCAGTCATCGAGCCACTCGAAGGACGGAGACCAAAATGTTCCGTGGTTGCAGCTTGGCTTCGCTGATGGTTTGGGTATCCGGGTAAGTAGTTAAGTATGGTTAGCGACACTTCATTAGGCTGACAGGCGTATCAGGAAGTATATCGGATACACACGTCCGGTGGACAACCGCCAACTTCCTGTAAGGGCCAGAAAGACAGCTTTGAGATAGAGTATGCGGCAGAATACTGGTTCTATGGTTGACGTGATACGTTCATTTTCGCATCTCTTCTTCTTGGAAGATGCTTAGCTTGCGGCAAACCTTATCAGAATCGAGGTTTCATGCTCCATTCGCATCTTTTTTTTTTTTTTTTTTTTTTTTTTGCGCCTTCAAATCTATCCTTTGTTTGATTCTTATATCCGATCCTGCTGAACTGTTGGGGCAGAGTGTTATTTTTCTGAAGTTTGCGCAATCTATTTCCTAAACCGCGCAGCAATGAATTATCTGTTGCCTGGTATTAAATCAACGTAAACAGAGAATAACAAGACGAAATGTCCGAAACCGCTCTTGTTCAAAATGAGTCATTTACTTCAGCAGTTGTATACTATATAGAATGCGGGGATCGTCCGAGGTTGGGGTGGAGATGCGGACAATTGCCCGATCTGGCGGGGACATTGAGCTTGATGGGATCAACACTTTCAAATAATTGAGAAGCCAAAACCGCCCCCCCAAAACTGAGTCACCGTACGGAGCTTTAAGAGTGAACCCGAAACGTCTGTGATAATCGACAGCAATCTCCTCCACTTTGCGCCTCCGCTCACAAGCAAGAACCACTACAAATGGACCCAGCAAAAGAAAAACACTACGTCTCAGCAGACAACGCCAGGACATTCGTCCACTCCGTATTAACAGGCAACGGCGTCTCCCCTGAAAATGCCACCATCATCGCCGACTGCCTGGTCCGGGCCGACCTACGCGGGGTGGACACCCACGGCATCAACCGCATCCCATCCTACATGGAACGCATCCGCCAAGGCGTGCTAGACGCCAAAGCCAACCCCGTGCTGAATCAAATCACGCCCGTCGTGGCCCAGGTCGACGGACAGAACGGGTTCGGGTTCGTCGCCGCGCATCTCGGCATGAAGCGGGCGATTGAGATGGCGCGCGAGTTCGGGATCGGGTTTGTCTCTGTCAAGCATTCGAACCATTTCGGGATGTCCGCGTGGGTGGTGCAGCAGGCGCTCGACGCGGGAATGATGAGTCTGGTTTTCACGAACTCGTCGCCCGCATTGCCTGTTTGGGGTGGGAGGGAGAAGTTGATGGGGGTGTCTCCGTTGGCCTGCGGTGCGCCGGCGGGCAAGACGAAGCCGTTTATCCTGGATATGGCGCCTTCCATTGCGGCACGAGGCAAGATCTACAAGGCGGCGAGGCGGGGCGAGAAGATACCCGGCGATTGGGCTCTGGATGGCGAGGGACGGCCTACGGATGACCCGAACAAGGCGCTTGAAGGTGTGATGTTGCCTATGGGGGGCCCGAAGGGGTCGGCGCTCGCAGTTATGATGGATGTGTTCTCTGGGGTGCTGTCCGGTTCTGCATTTGCGGGACATGTCACTAATCCTTATGATCCTTCAAAACCGGCTGATGTAGGGCATTTTCTCGTCGCTATCAAGCCGGATCTCTTCATGGGCTTGGAGGATTTCAAGGAGCGCATGGATTATCTTTATCAGAGGGTGGTGGGCTCCGAGAAAATGGCTGGAGTAGATCGCATCTACTTCCCTGGGGAGATTGAACAGATCACGCACGAGGAGAGATTGAAGACGGGTATTCCGTATGTTCAAGCAGAAATCGATGCACTGAACAGGGAGGCAGAGAGAGTTGGTGCAAAAGAGATTGTTCTTGATCTGAAATGATTTCGCAACTACAAAGCTTCTTATACTTATCTTATAGAAAGGGATGTACTTAATATCTTTTTGATGAAAGCGCTTTAAATGTCATCCCAAGTACGTTAGGCACGGCGATATATAAGCTTAACAGTCTAACAAATGCAGCGTAGTTCAGTCGGAGCTGAATCTCAGACTCATTGAAACTATAAGTGATCATATTGGAGCCAAATCAATTTCACCATGTCAATAATAAGGTATTAATGGCCTAAATCCATGTATAATTAAAGTTGAATTGTTGAGTTGTTATGCCAGATGATCACATGATTCTCAAAGTGTGGCGCAGTACATGCAAGATTCAGATAGGGTAGTGATACAGCTACACCCCCCTTACCTAATCAGGTAAGATTTGGTCATGTGACTCTCTGGAAAGTGGATTTTACCGCGCATGTGATTTATATTTTAGGCTTAGTGCCAGGGCTCAGGGTGAGGGCTTAGTAGTAGTGCTTGAGCCTCATGTTATTTGTACAAGAGGGAGGCCTGCAGGGTCTACCAATCACCCAACTACTACGCCAGCTGCTACGCCAGCTACTACGCAAGCCTCTACACAGCAAGATACATCCACCCAGCAAGATCCGTCAGTATTCAAATACATATTGGCGCAGGAAGGTAGAACCGCGCGGGGAAGAGGGAGAGGGCAAGGGAGAGGGCAAGGGAGAGGGCAAGGGAGAGGGCAAGGGCGCGGGCGTGGGCGCGGGCGTAGAGGCAGTCAGCTTTCTACCAGTCAAGCAAATAGTCAGCAATCAAACACACAAGAAGCTAGTGAACAGCCTCAAGATACACACCAGCAAGGTCGCGGAGGGAGAGGTCACAGAGGGTGTGGATGTGGGCAAGGCAGGCAGGCAGGGGGGGGGTTCACTACAATGGCATCCCAGAGGGCATGACAAGCATTATCCAATTTTAAATAGAGGGTTCTGATTAGCTAATATAATGTATACTTAGAATGTGTAATTAGAATGAATTAAACCTGCAAGTCCTATCATCAAATTTATATGGCAAATCGAATTGTTTTCATCCTCTGCTGAGTGCAACCGTAGATTCACAGTGATCACATGACCAAATCTTACCAAATCGGGTAAGGGGGGTGTAGCTGTATCCACGGTGTAGCTGTATCCCCAGGGGGTGTAGCTGTATCACTACCCTTCAGATACTAACAAATTGCCACAACCACTTTTGTGGTGCCATGTCAGAAGCCCCAAGCCTTCAGGATCTAAGCTCTTACCTAGCTTTCAGCTGCTGACTTTTCGGATGTTCTGATTAAGCTCGTAGACTATGGCAACTCCTGTGGAAGCACACAATCCTAATTTCAGAGCAGGAAATGCATAACAGTGGGACAGTATAGCATTGCGCATCATACTGCAGCTAGGTGTGAGATGAGAAGTACCATAAGTGATCTCCTGCCGTGACAACAGATATTATCATTGTGGATATCAGAGCAATACTCCATAATAGAGATGCCAAGGCCACAGCACACATATGTCATAGTCACATGACCTATTCCCATTCGGGAAAAAAGCCACAGCTTAACAATACTGCGCGAACTTCAGCGCGTCTTCACCTGCCCGTGACAGCTCACTGTCCGGATTTTTTTTTTGCTCATTTCTTCATCAACTCATTTGACTCATTCCTACTCTGCTAAGCGCAGTATGCCAATTGCTTAAATTGAAACAATTACACTTATCAGCCACGAAGCGCAAGATCTCGGTTCCCTTTGTCCTCGACTGTTGACGTCCGAGCCCAACAACACCTGCCGTCACCGCTCAACACCCATCAAAATGACCACCGATTACAGCAAGAAGACGAACGCGGAGCTAGTGGAGATCCTCAAATCTCGCTCGCTCCCTCACACAGGCAAGAAGGCAGAAATGGTCGCTCGCCTCCAGGAAGACGACGGAAACAAAGCCAAGGCCGCATCGGCCCCTGCCCCTGCTGCAAAGACTGACACCGCGGACGATGTCATCGACTGGGAAGATGATGATGTTCCCGCTGCTGATACTACCGCGGTGAAACCTTCTACTGAAGCTGGCGCCGCTGCCATTGCTGCTGGCGGCAAGGGTGCGGTCGCTAATCCGGTAGCTGTTCCAAACCAGATACTCGATACCAACCCCGCTACTACGGACGATTTGAAAGTCGAATCGAAAGGTGCAGCACCATCGGCTGAGAGTGGAGCGCAAGGGCACGAGGGCACGGAAGGCACATCGGCTGAACCAGCCCCTGCTGCTCCGGCCGAAGAAAAACCGGCACCGGACTATTCTATGGGGCTTCCCATCACTGAGATGGAAGAGGAGTTGAAGAAACGCAAGGCTCGCGCGGAGAAATTTGGCATCACCGAGGAGTCCAAGGCTGCTATTGTGGAGGCGGAGAGGCAACTCGAGAGGGCGAAGCGGTTCGGAACGGCGGTTCAACCCACTTCTGCTGGCGGTGTCAAAGGTCTGGATGAAGCTCTCCCGACCGAAAAGACTCGCAAGAGAGGTCGTGGTGATAATGAGCAAGCATCCCGGGGAGGCAAGCGACGTGATGTTGGCGGCAGAGGCAGATTCCGAGGAAAGAGCCGTGGAAACCGAAACCAGAATCAACGGAATGAAGGAAACGCTGGCAAAACTAGCGAGCAGGGTAACTGGAGTGAGAAAGATCGTTTGGCCATGGAAGCCAGAAAGAAGCGATTTGCGACTGCGGCATAGTGTCGGGTATGCTGATATTTTCTCAAGTGTACTTCGTTTCTTCCTTGACCTCCCTTCTTTGGTTTCTTTAGTTTCAATTTGCTGGCGTTACGGGAATATCTACAAGTGGAATCTTATTTCATTCATGATGAAGTTGAGGTATTCTAGTGATAGTAGAGAGCCAAGTAATTATCTCGATTACTGGATCAGATTATTGGTACCATGGATTCATTAAGGTGTATAGTAATCAGAAAATAGCACCAAAGAAGATGTTAATCGTCCCAGATGCTCTCCATCAGCGTTCACGATTAATGACCGTAAAAGGACAGTCGTAGACAGGCTCCACTTGACAATTGAAGACTTGAGATGCTGCGCCGACCGAGTCAGCTGAAAAGTGCATTAGGCCCATTTCTAGTCCGCCAGTGTGAGTGGTTCCTGCAGCAAACCAGCGTCTTCGATACTCAAATTACGCGGCTGATCTCGAATGATCTCGCTGATCGGCAGCCTCTCTGCTCTTGCAGCTTCCTAGAGCACGAGGCTTCAAGCCATCATCGCAATCATCATATCATTGAACACCTTGAGAATCTCGCGAGCTCCGTCTCTTATCTTTCTCGTTTCCACTTGAAGCGAGTTATTCGAGCCTAACCAACGACTGCAAGATTGTACACTCTACCCCGTGATCGGTATATCTCGATAGGCTTCTTCTCGACCTCAAGGCGACTCCTGTGAGCACCCTTGAATTGCCGCCGTCTCCACTGGAATCCCGAAGTCACAAAGGGTCATTGCTTTTTCCCTCTGACGAATACGGTTGTTGGAAATTCACCTGTCTTCGCCATCGTGCTCAATCCGGGTGGATGAAACCAATATTGCCCGCGTCTCGTTCGTCCATTAAGTATCCCGTTCAATCACAGTCTTCACAAAAGTACAAAAATTGTTTCCTTGCCGTTTAGCGGCGGATCAGAGAAACCCACCGGCTCAGCGACTCCACAATTTTCGGGTGCAAAATTCCAAACCATAGATGGTTCCAGTCCAATCAGGGTCCATATCCGCAGGGTTGCCAATTTGGCTTCAAGCCTCAGCTTTCGTCGCATGGCGTTTATACACAGTCACTGGCTGGCTTGAAGACTGTCCAACCGAATGCTCTGACATTGTCCGTAACAATTGTGGACCATGTTCTTAAGTGGTGGGTTCTCGGTTTCTCGTCCTTTGCTCTCTTATCCATGGTTGTGTAAAGGGTCGGGGCGAACCTTGCAGTTGAGGCCGCACAGAACATCAGAATCGGCAGGATAATATCACATAGGGGAGGGTCTCAACTGAAATCCATCATCATAATCATCATCCTCATCCTCATTCCCGTTCCTTGGCAGATCTCCTACGATATGCAGGAGTTACCAGGAGTAGGAACAGTAGTGAAGATACCGAATTGTGTTACTCTGCAGAGCCATGTGCGTCCATGTCGAGAGCATGCCTTTGAGCTTGCCAATGATCGACGAGACTTGGTATCGCCGTATCGGCCTCGCCGGGCAAGGCTTGAGGCACAACTAATCTTCTTAGTTCCTACCGTAGTAGATACTGCTAGGCAGACCAACAGTGGCAGAGACGCAGACTGGTCAGTGACCACCACATGACTTGCACACTAATATCCACCCATGGCTAAGAAAAGAAAATCCCCCAAATTGTCCGATACTAGTCTGATGAAGTTCATCAATCAACGTCCAACATCCAGATGTACGGCGGTCAGGGCCAAGCAAGAATTATCAAGGCTTTTATGATTTGATCAGCCAGCTATGTTATGCTCTGCTGCTACTCCGTACCAACAGAATTGATCCAACGACTTACCTGATGCCTTTACGGATCAGGATGACTGTGCACACGAAGGACATTCCGCTATCTCACGCCACTCAACTCCATCTCAACCTGTCAAGTCATCCCACTCACTGCGCTCCCCGTTAATGTCGCAAATTCTCAAGGCAAACGAACTGGATCTAAAAGTGGGCCTTTTCGATACTCCCATCCAAATGCCTGATACTGTGCACGATCCTGTCCCCAACCGCTATACAGTGCTCTGCACTAATTTCCATTTGCTCTACTAAAAACAATGCTCCTCGACAGGCTAAGGATATGCGAGGCTTTAGCTTTCTCGCAAGCGAAGATTTTGCAAGTCATTTGCCAATGAGTGTGCTGGTCACATCAGATCTCGAAGATAGACGCCAACGTCGATCGCACAATTCGCATCACATTTACCCGTTCTAGCCTGTCCATATGGACTGCCTATCGACATGACATTGAAATTCCTCGTCCCCCACTTATTTCGTGCAATTACAAAGAAATTCTGATTGGCCTGTAAAATCTCCTTTCTCGGGGTCAAACCCTTGAAAAGTGCAGATTTGCAGTAATTCTTGAGGAACACTGTTCCTGAGTCAAATATCCTTTCCCCCCTCATCTCTTGCCTGACTGTCAGTCTGTTCTCTTCCTTTTCCTTTCTTATTCTCGTCCTACGCAGCTGGTCTCTTTTGCATAAGTTTTTTTTTTTTTTTTTTTATCACTTCTCGTATCTTTCTTGCCTTCTCTGACGTGTTCGTGCAGCTCCAGCTCGACAGGTTTGACAGTTGAGCCACGAGTGACTCGGTATTGTGGCGAAGCAGCTGCAATGTCCTGATCGGCTCAACTATAGTTTGACAGTTCACCTTCTAATCTACGAATTTTTTTATCATTCTATATTTTATACCTTCATATGACCTTCATGTCGCTTTACATATTATTACCACATTGAATCACGATTTTTTGTTGCACTGCAAGCATCACGATCAGCACGACATATTGCATCTTTTCGCTTGAGCGTTTGATATTGTCGTTTCCCTACTCCGTACTCCGTACCAGCAATAGATACCCCTGCTTTCACGGTTTGTTTGCATTCTTCGATCTATTGACCGAATATTGCCACATCACTTTTGTTTTCGAGGTCAAACATGATGCAATAGGAGCAGTAAGTATGGGTACTGTAATCGATTTTTGACCAGTGCTTACAGGAAGCTCGATTTTGCAGCTTTATATACAACTGGGAAGAACAAGTTCTAGGCGGAATGATTCCATACCTATCTCCCCTTCCTTTCGATTCTGAAACATTGGTCTTCGGACTGGAACCGGATATCAAAGGCGGGTTGCACCATGTCGTCGTACAGATCCGAGGGAGGTCGTATACCCAGGCTGAAAGATCCTACCTCTCAGCGTCGAAACGGGGCATTTCTGGCGGTGAACTCATCTTCTAGAACCTATGGTCCTTCTGCGCTACCCTCGAGGATTCAAATTTCGAATTCGATGGCCCCGACAGCAAGAAATAGCAGATCATCCTCCTTTTCAGATGCAGAAGGATCTCACGCAGTGCAAGCGTCTTTAGCTGCTTCGCGGACTTCAATCGCTAACGGTGTCCGTATGTCGTTACTTCCCCGAGCGAACACTCATCCATCACCGTCAACAACACTACCTCCTTCCATCCAAGCACCTCAAGCTCAACCTGGGCCACGTCCGGCCAGTCCTCCGGCGGGAACCCAAGGCTCAGAATCCACTAGCGAAAGACCACGCAACGTTCTGCGTCGCAGAGCACCGACAATTGGTCGGCAGAACGAGATCCAGGGGTTCAAGGCAACATCCGCGAAACCAGAGAAGCTGAGTGTAATCATTCCAAGCAGTGCTCCCCCCGATCATGTTGCGCATCCTGCTTCCCAGTCGTCATCGGACCAAGCGATACCAGCGAGACACAAGCCGTCGCCGAGTTCCTCGCACTCAAAGACTGCAAGAAAAGCAAGGGCGCAACCGGTGGAACAAGGGCCCAGTGAATTCGCTAGTCTACGAACTACAGTCAACACCCAAAATCTACCTCCTCCAACCCCGATCTTTGCATCGGCTAGCAGCCCCTCGACAAGATACTCTGGTTCTCCCGGGATATGGAGTAGGACTTCTACTCCCACCTCACTGTCCTCATATTCCCCTGGGATTATTCATTCCGCGAAGGTCGGTCCTCGCTTCAGGCACCCGAGCCCTTCTGAGTCTAGACTCCCCGTCTTCTCACCTACAATGCAGAAGTCCGACTCACAGGATGATCCATTGAGTTCAGCTGGCGACGGGTTTCCAGGCATGGCCGCTGGAGCAGGGCTAAGCGCATTGTCAACGAAGAATCATTACGACAACCCTCTGAAAAAGAATGGTTCTGCAAAACCAGCTACGCCGACTGGCAATCAACTGCCGCTCAAAAAATCGACAAAATCCAGCCTTCCGAGAATGACCAAAGCGAATGTTGCGGAATATTCGGAGACATTCGACGAGCAAAGAAGTTGTGCCGCTCCGGATCACGGGAATCTCAAAGCATCGGCGTCGAAAGGCGAGGTCAGTGGTTCAGGGCATGTACCTTCAAGACCCAGTAGAGAGGGTACTCACCGGTTAGAGCTTGAGCCGTCACCTGTGATCCGTAGTAACCTCCTTCCGGGCGCTGTGGCGAGTCATAGGCGACGTGGATCCGGGGCCAGCTCCATCACGTTGGGAAGGAGTCATTTGGTCTCAAACCCCTCTGCAACCACCTCAGTTGACTCGTTGCAGTCAAGGACTTCTTCCCGGCGACCCTCACTCATACCTAGCTCACTAGAGTCAATGCGGAAATCGCCGCGAACTCTGATAAAAGAGCCGAAAACGAAGCAGGATGCGACGAGCCCCGCAAAATCGCGGCGGTATGGTCTCTTTTCAAAGAAGTCAAAATCTGAAATGGATGTACAGAAACTCGAGGATCGACACACTCGCAAGGGTCCAGCAGCTGGGACAGGCCATGAGGGTTATGGAAGGTATGCACAGCGTGGTCGAAAGGCAACTGTCAGCAGCAACAGTGATACGAGAGCAAGGTCAACGAGCACCAACCGCAGCGCACCGAGATCGGTTTCGAGCAGCAAGACAAGCATCAGAGGTCGACCGGATCTGGATCTTGATGATTTCCTGCTGGATCGCTTGGAGCCTGTCATCATTACTGGTGGAGGCATGGACGGTGCCTCTTTGACTAATACACAGAGTGGGAAGAGTACGAGCGGTCTCAGCATCGAATCTGCTCAAGATCTAGTCAAGTATTCAGGTTCGAGCTCGGCTGGTTACTCATCGGAGTCGTTGCCCGCTTCGGCAGCCGAGAACGAACAACGCAATCCCTATCTGAGCAATTCAACTCGTGCTACATTGCAGGTGCCTAATCAAGCTGTTGCAAGCTCCAGCAAACTAGACCATGCTGAGACGAACAATGTTGGATCTAGACAGCCGTTGCGTCGGCCCTCGAACAATCCTGATGGGACTTCGCTTTCATTGAGCAGCGGAGGGTCACGCGAAAGTGGGACTGCAATTGAGCAGCCTAAAACACCGCAGAAAAAGACCAAAGGACTTAAGTGGAGTTTCTTCCAGAGACATGGAAACGTGCAAAAGGAGAAGAAACCAATTCGTGGGACGCTTGAATCTTCCCACGCCCCTCAGCTCCATGCTGCGGTTTCCCCAATCTTAGTGTCCCGGCCTGTCGCACACTATGCCTTGGTGGATACCGACTCCGACCCTCTGGAAGACATCATCAGCCATGTTGAGGAATCGCCTCCGACGGAAATTGAGGATTTGGACTCACGAGTGGAAATTCCGGTGGCCTTGAATATCAGGAAGCCAAGCCAATCTATCCTGCTTCCTTCGCCTCCGAAGCTTCAAGGCGAGTTCTGTCGAGATCGCCCGGCTTCACCAAAAGTCTATTTTAACAAGGATCCTTTACTTCCTAACTCTAAGACAAGCACATCTAATGGACGCCCACGACGGTTGGCATCGGTCGGCCGTATCCCTGAAGTGATTTCGAGGCGTGATCGGCAACACAAACCAGCACTTCGATCGTTCTCGAGGCCCTTTAGCATGGCAGATTCTCCGTCCATAGCTGCTCCGGCGACGGAGAATCTATTCGACTTGCAAACTCCAAGTCAGTCCACGGTCACAGCTCAATCCATTGAGGTCCCTCGTCGTCCGTTGGGTCTAGGATTCGACCTCACTCGTCCCTTTGGCGATCCTGAGTTAGCGAGTGCTCTTAATCTTATCGCGGGTCCTTACTCCAAAGACGAATTCTTAACGTTCTCGCCGAGGAAAGATTCGGGTTTTTCGACGTCAAGCGGTTCTGAAGCTTTGGCTGCTGTCACTGCTGTGATTCCGACGCCGGGTTCAGACCCCACGGAGGACGAGGTCTGGGCCGAGTATGACGATCTCATTGACCACGTTCTTTCACCGGAGATTCCAGAATGTGCTTTGCCTGGGGAGTCCACCGAGGATGAAAAGTTGGGAATGGCCACCATGGCCAGCAAGGCGCTTCAAGCCGAGATCAACGCGAATGCCAATAGACACTCGCCAGTTGTTCTCGTCGACAATGCCATCGTGGCTCTGACTCCTTCATCACCTCAACCAAGTGATAGCTCGTTTCGTTTGCGGCGTTCCGCAATCGTGTCGGCCCTCCACTCTTCCATTGCCCCTTCTTCCCAACCTTCTTTCAGTGACATCATCGGTAGCTACTGTTATGATCAAGATGAAAAGCAAGCAAGCAATGAGAAGGTAGATGACAAGTCAACCTCACTTGCACCTGTTGAGCAACAAGCAGCCTTCCTCAGCTCGTCTTCCCTGGACCTATCTGAGACGTTCGAGACTTGCCGGCAACGAAATACCGTTCTGTTTGACATTGCCGAGCGCGACAGAGAGGGACCAACAGTACAGACAAACATACGCTCAGGATCTCTCATGACAAGCCGTTGGCTGTCGTTTGGAAGGGTACTCTTTAGTCCTGCGCATAATCATGTCAAAAGCGGGGAGCAAGAGCGAATTCTCATCATCGATGGCCTGGGAAACGACGACTGGTCATTTTATTGCGCCCTCACCTATCCAAATGCCGACATCTACTGCCTGACCGATGGTCCCGCAAAGACCACATCAAAGCATCCAGCTGCTTGGCAACCGCCAGCGAACCATCATACGGTTCACCAGGCCAGCTTGGAGCAACCCTTCCCTTTTGCAAAGAGCTTTTTCACGGTCACTGTCTTGCGATTTCCATCTGCATGTTCCGAAAGTGTCCAGAACAACATTGTGTCGGAATGCAAGCGCGTGCTTCGACCTGGGGGTTATATGGAGATGAGTGTGCTCGACCTAGACATGGTGAACATGGGGATTCGGACCCGCAAAGCCGTGAGGATGCTCAAGGAGAAGACATACCTGTCTGACGCCTATATCAGTCTGAAGCCTGCGAGTGACAGCCTACAGAAGCTGTTGGGACTACAAGGGTTCGATGGTTTGCGGCGCTGCATGGTGCGGATTCCGGTGACGGGGGTGATTGTCAGATCTTCCGCCTCATCTTCCTCCACTTCATCTTCCAATCCCTCCACATCTGCTCCCACCGGTACGCCATCTACTGCATTTTCAGCTCTGACAAGTTCCTCGACGAGCACGCAACAACCGAAAGTACATGGCAAATCGCCATCCAACGACACCGACTTGTCTCTTGGAGACCTACTCTCAGATCCCTCTCCCTCTCCCTCTAACGATGAGTCGATACGGAAGATTGTCGCTAAAGTTGGGCGCTGGTGGTACACGAGATGTTATGAGATCCCAGTTCTGCCGAACGGGGATGCCGCGTCCAGTATCTGGGCCGATAAGCGTGTTCTCCGCGAGTGTCAGAAACGATGCACAGGATTCCGGCTGTTGATTGTATACGCACAAAAACCCAGTGAGGTGAAACGGCGGACTGCGAGTGTTTGATTTATCCTTACGAGCCGATGATAACGACGCTGATGATGACTTACGAACACAATCGTGATGAACGACCTGACTTTTGATATGATCTGCGTGTTCCGTGCGACAATATCTATTTAATATTCAGTCATGATTCATTGGTGACAGATATGCGGAAAGACAAAAACAGACTGTCTTGTTACACTTGATATAGGGCGACCTATTCCTTGCATTTGCATCGCATATGTTGGCGGCTGTATGAACCTTTGCTGTTCCTCTGCTTTTGGTTACCTTCTTGTCTATCATCCTGAAGCCGGTCTTTGGATGGATGGATTTTGTTTCTTTCTTCTATTCCTCCTCTACTACTATTCCCCGGAGGTTCTTTGTTTGGTAGTACATATGGTTAGGCACGAGATATATCTAATGAAGGATCTAATTTGGTCTTGATGTTATACTTTCCCTATCGACCTGACACCTTGCTAGCAATGCTTAGCTAAACCTTCACGTAGTAGTGAGGATCAAACCCACCCCTCCAATGACCAGAGGACAATGTCCGACATGCCAACTCTCAGGCCCATATTGAATCCGACTGCCCTTGGATACACGACCCGCTCTTCTGCGTCGTCGCTGAAAGCACCTGAGACGAGTCATTCTCCTGTGGAAAGAGACTTGGACGAAATTGCGAACTGAAAGCCGCAGTTGCCCCTTCGTTCAGCGAATGCCTCTTCCGTTTAAGTCTTCAAACAAAGAACCGCGTCGGTATATGAGCAGGTATTACCGGGAACGGACATCCGAGTCCGCGCACAGGTAGGTACAGATCATTCTCTCCTCTGAGGGAAGTTCCTAGCGATGTTCATGAGCATGCGCGAGAGTGGCAGTGCTGTACGGTCTTCATAGAATACTACATCGATGGTGATGTTGGCAGGGTTGCACAGTGTGGATGGAGCTGGACCTCTTGCCTCTGCCTCTGCCTCTGTTTCTGTTTCTGTTGTCCGAGCGCAACTGAGGACAATGTTGTCCTGCTTTGCCATCGCTGTCGCTGTCGCCGTTGCGACTGCGATTGCTTTTGCCACCACCGTGTGTTTTGTGTCTGTGGCGAGTCCGATAATACTTACGTCGATGGCGAGATATACATGTACACGTACATCTACGTCTTTCATCGTGCATCTACGTGTCTTGTAGATTCCTGGGGAGGCATGTTCAACGCGAGCTTTGATGCAAGGGCGGCGGCGACCGCGATGGCGAGGGTACTTCCGTCTGACCATTCTGGGTGGTTACGATTGAGGTTGGAAAGGGATATCGTCTGTGAGGTCCGGTGGCCAATGGACGACGCGGATATCAGCCACCGGGGAACGTTGAGATGGCGGTGTAGATCGTGCTTTTTAGTGGCTATTGTCTACCATGTAGTCGCCTGTATCTTGTACCGAGTACTCTGTAGAGTGTCTGTCGGAGTACGGAGATAACTCTGGACTGTGACTGTGTACAGAGTATGCTCAGTATCGGCTGAGCGAATCCGAGGCATACCTGATGTTTGTAGAATCAGCCATCACATGCGGGGTTGAGGATGCCTTTGATATTTGTTTACGGGGTAGATAGTATGGAGGTGAAGAGTCAGTGTTTGAGAATCGAGCTGGTGCCTATCTCGACATATGAAAGGGCCGTGCGCTTGCGTTTGAGGACTGCCATGGCCGTGACCGTCACCGTGACCATGGCGACGCTGAGTTGGCAGAGGACAGGGAAGTTCTGCACTGCTGCACCCCGCACTCAGTCATTGCTGCTGGCATGGTTATCGTGGCTGGATATTGCAGACTCGGCTTCCTTGCATACTTTCTATGCATATCATTGTGCCATCGACATGCTGTTGATGTTATAGGGACAATATCGCAGCAGTCGTATCTGTTCAGAGGTATAAGTATAAAGGACTGGTGTATGTACCTGCCGACCTGAAGAGAGTGATACAAACCCATCCGCGAATGTCTATCTGGATTGTTGACGGGTAGGAGATGCACCAGATCTAGACCTTCTCGTCCGTGGGTTCTCCGAGCTGCCGTCTATTGGCGCCCAGAGCAAGCTGGAGATGGTCATCGGGAGCCTAAGCTGGCGTAGCTGGCGTCGCTGGCAGAGCAGAGAGAGGGGAAGGGCAAGCCCCTCCCGAGGTTAATGCGCGCTCGGATCTTTGCAAGGCAACGATGGCCCCCTTGATTGTATATTGACATCTCGTAAAGATCGTGGACTCAGAGATATGCTTTGTACTAGACGCGCCCGGTCCAGTTGAACAGACAGCCAGGGCTGTCATATCGGAGCGTTGGGGATCCGGACTAATAGGAGGTTGATGGCGTTGTGGAAGGGCAAGGTGGAGGCGTCGCGGGGTTGAGTGAAACGAAGAGGATGAGGAGACGATGCAGAAGCCATAGGGAGACGCGGATCATGGACGCATGTCTGATGTTTGTCAGGGGTCATGTGTCCTGTACAGCTATCTTTCATGCTGCATGGATAGGAACGAGTCATTGGTGTCACAGCCATTGCAATGGACGATACCACGATGATATGATACAAAGAGGCGGTGTCACTGGTCGGACGCAATTCTAATCCATGCAATGTATGTATGGTGATCCAATTGATCCGTAGCACATCCTAGAGTAGGTCGCATGGATATCAGAAGATAGCTGGATGGCTGTCTTAATATTAGTAAGGAATCCAGCCGCCAAAACAGATGTCTGTGCATTGTCGCTGTGATCTTATTTGTTGTATGCAGAATTGAAACAGACCTGGTTAATGAAAGAGGATATCTAAACAGTTAGTCAGTTTCAAACTGCATTTGAAATTAAATTATTTCGGACAAGGTTTCGACTCACCTGCCTATAATGTGAAGACTATTCCTGTCAGTATCAGAGTGCTCTAAAATGAGCATCGACTAAGCTCGAGTGTGCTTTGGCCTCAGTCTACTGCAACCGCTGCTGCACACTAGAGCAGCACGTAAGCTACTTAGACTCTCCCCACTACTGCCTCACCCGCAGCACGGTCTGTTCTGGCCGTCCATCGATTCTGCTGCAAGTGGGGCGTCGCTGGTAGCTGATAAAAATTATCCTCTGATTGCGCAGACTTCTGGTGGTAGGAGGAAAGGTTTGTAGCTAAGGGTTTCTATGTATATCCCTTGGAGCGGTGGAGGCTTGTGGCTCCTCTCCAGGTACAGCATCCGTGCTGTAGTACAGGTCTGTATACAACTTCTCCTCCCCTCATGTCAGCCCCTGGTCGTCATCAATGTCAGGTGGTGGGAAGCAATATCAATTCGTTCCCGCTGATGTAGATCTATGCATACATTCCCCCATGTCGCTAGCTCTTCTTCAACATCACGAAGCTCAGCTGTCATGCTCGAGCATTGCGCGAATTAGGTAGACGAGGGGAAGGCGCAAGCTTGGCTGTCAGAAGAGACAACGATTGGAGCATACTGAAACCGAGCGTTGCTGTTTAGGAAACGTCAAAGCTCTGAGATCAAACTGATTTGACCAAAAACTCCTCGGGATACACTGCGTACCCGTGTTTTGCAACATATTCACTTGACTTTGAATACTGCTGGCATGTTGATAAGAACCACAAGTTTCCTACAGCGCATTAAAAATTGTCTTATCATTGTGAAGTCGTATGCGAGTGGTCAATCCCCCAAAACAGAATTTTTCCCCACGGGGACACACTATTGATGCCTGGAGAACACGCGCATCAGGCTCCAGTAGTTGCTGACTCGCTCATAGCCTCGTAGTTTCTCCGAAGACAGTTGAGCGGGACTGGCTATGATAGAGCCCCTCCTTTGCGGTTATCAGTGCATACCGGTGGAGCTCCCTGCCTTCTAGGCCTATGACAGAGCAGCACAGAATCCACGGATTTCGGAAAGTTCGCATCAAGCTATCGATATCTTTTCCTCCAGGCTCCACAAAGTGCTGACCGGGGACAACATCGGGGTAGTTCTCCGTCGAGCGAGAGTAAGTTAGCAACGCACCGGCACCGCAGTCATTGAGTTTGAGCTTCTGGAGAAGGTGAGTTTGGCGGTAAGCACATCCACTTCAGTGCACCGAGAGGGGAGTGACTAGTGAGAGACTCAGACAAGGTCCAAAGACAAAATTCTGACCGGTTGCAGATCTGTGCCCTTGCACGCCGCATACGGACAACCCATAGAGGGATAGAGGAGAGAGCATGCGTTGCACTGCCTTCAAACCGACCCAGAGATGCAGATTGTAGAGCAAAAGCATACCGCCTCCACCGAAGCGTTCTTCCTTGGCATGGTGCAAAGTCAAAGAGAAATCTGGAGACACGAGTTTTGCGTGGTGTCCGTGCTGTGCGAAGCAAAAGTATCAGAGCTCGGAAGACAGATCCAAAGCTTACGATGGGATGTCAATTGATTGCTAGTTAGGATCAAGAGGGGAATCCGAGGAGAAGCACTGGTGGCCCGAACGTAGGGGTAGTGTCAAGAGGGTATCAGTGTAGTCTACCTGGCGACCTGGAAGGAGGTCCTCTGAAGAAAGAGGTGGAGTGGAGCACAAAGGGTCCAACTCAACCATCGGACGGCGTCACGCCGAGTACCCGCTCGGGCGTCCGACAACGGGCCACCTCAGTATCAAAACTTAAAGGTAGGTAGGTGTAACTAAATAGTGAATCCGAATGTAGATAATGCGACTTGAATGTGCAGGAAACCAATCAATGCTTCAACATGGCTGAGCCGAAAGTTTCCACGATCAGAGGTACCTCCCATGGTCTGACAGGGGTCTCATACAACCAGTGTCCGTGGTCTCCTTGGGAGGGGCCAAACACCGTACTCCCAGCATCTAGACTCCTAGCCTATCCGCACGGTGACAGGTATCCACCATGTCTGGAGCTGGAGTCTGGAGTTTTGGAGTCTGGATTTTTGGGGTTGATCATTGTGTGATTGAGGAGTGAGAACGTGCAGTTCAATGCGGGCTCCGAATTTTCTCCTTGCACCATCAGCAGGAGCGTACTGGGGGGGGGGAGTGTAGATAATTCTGAACATTTTGAGT